ACGCGAGAGTAAATCCAAAAAGAAAATAGATTTTTTTATTTCATTCAAACATATATAATATATGCATGGCTATGTCTTAATATATGTCTTGTTCTCACAGATGGCCCTGACATCAAGACTTCCTCAAAGTGCTCCTCCGAGGACGGCGTGGTAAAGTGTGAGTGCATCGTAGAGTCCGAGCCTCCCAGCATGGTCTATTTTATTCTTGGTGACAGAGTCATGCAAAGCAGCAAAGCAGAGAAAAATGGCTTTGTTACTATTGAGACTCTGCAGACAGACTTTGGGTCTTTACGGTTTGTGCACTGCCTGGCAAACAACATGCTGGGATATGACAACATCTTGCTCTCTTTACCTGTTAATGGTAAGAAAGACTTAGGATGAATTGATCTCTCTATTTTTACACGACAAAAATACTTAACATGGTTTCTTTGTCAACAGACAACATGCAGAATATTCTTATCTCAAGTGGAGCAGGTGTGATTTTGCTGATTATTGTGATAGGAAGTGGAGTGGGAGTTGTTAAAAAATGGTAAGTTGTCATGAACATAATCATTGCAGATAAACAAATAAGTCATGTATGTGGGAGAATCTGTAAATATTGCAACATGTATCAAATAATAGTCACAATCATGATTACAACTATATGAGCACCAGAACAATTTTTTTAGGTCCTGACAGCCTGTCTTTAATTTCAGAGGCTGTGAAAAGTGTCAGTTTTCTTTCTTATTTAGTCAAAAACATTTTACTGCCAGTAGGGGGAGATCAAGAGACACAACAACCACTAACTTGAGCACCATGATGTCAGACAGACCTGTGGAGCTCCCTCATAGTGCCCCACCGAAAAGGTTTTAATTCTTCACTTCTGTTTGCAAACAAACAAAAAAAAATCTTAATCATAAATATAAGTTTAAAGATGTGTCACTTGTTTTAATAATAGCTTTTCTTTCTGCAGGAAAATGAGCCGTAAGGATATCCCTTCCCCTGACATGTACACCAATTATCCTGTCTATGGCAACGTATGGATAAGTAATGTTTTCTTCATTAGTTCATTCATATTTTGCATGCATGAAAAAGGGGAGTGAATTGATCTTGTTTCTCTGTGCAGACTGACTGGGATGAGTCAATATATGCCAATGTGTAGCATGTGGAAGATCAGCTGGAGTCCATGTTTATGTCCTCTGATATATGAGTTAAGAATGAGTCAAGTTTTTTTTTCCCAATCTCATTCAGTTTTCAATGTTTATCACTTATATCTGTCATATATAATTCACATTTTATTTGCAGAATACAATAAGTAAATATTAATGTCTAAAACTGTGATGATCTTGTGATTCCTGTCATAAACTGCAAAAAAACTGGAACAAGGTCACTTCATCAGAATTTATGTTTTTGTATTTTTTTTTCTGTCATTTGTAAATATTTCGTTCATGAGTGTGGCACAATATCATGTGATCCCATTAAGTCTAAGGATTTTAGTTTTTTAGCTGTTTTTTTTTTTGTTTTTTTTAATTCCTGTGAACAGTTCCTCTATCCAATCTTTAAATGACGCAATGCTGCCACCTGGAGCTTGTTTCTCTCTCTCCCTCATTTGTGTGTG